AAAAGGAAGGGCAATTCTCAGTGGGATTTCCCGGTTGGAATAACAAGCATTATAGAAAATATTATTAGATGTTTTAATAAAAACAATTTGCATAGGAAATGTTATTTACTGCTGGGAATCTATTGGTTACAGGAAAAAAAATGGAAATAAAAATGAGTAATGACAAAACAGGAAATTATCCGCTTCCCTGTCTTTGTGACTTTGCTTTGATGGAAAGGGTTAACTTTGTCTTTGAACAGCAAGCAGCACAGATAACTCGATCAGCCACTAACAAGAGACAGAGAGTTACAGAGAAACAGAGACACACAGAGAGGTGGAGTGTAGACCACAGAAATGCAGAGGCCGAATCTGTGCAGCTATTCAGCAAAACTCGTCAGTCACACCCAAAGGAAAAACTCAGACCAGATTGGCAGAAACTAACTGCAACGTCTGGATAACATTTACCTAACTAACCTACTTCCTCTTATTGTATATGCTTATGTGATTTATAACTAAGACTTAAAATTCATAATGCTCAACTTTTGATACTTCATGATCATAAACTGCTCTTTTTTAAATAGAAGCAGAGATTAGACTTTTTTTAAACTTAGACATATCATTTGGATACACAGAGTGTATACAGAAGACAATTTTGTTTAGTGCAGCTTTCCAGAAAGTAAATAAACATTTCTATTCCATAAAGTGCAGCAGTGATCAAATGTAAACAGCGTGGGAGAAAAAATATGGTGCAAAAACGCCCGGATTGATATGGAAGTTCAGAGCATTAAATAGTTTATTCTACCATAATTGTTTATTCACTACATGTCAGCTCAAGGATTTCTATACACACAATTAATTAATAATATAATACATTTAGGGCTGAAACAATTAATCGCATTATTCTTGATGAATCGATTATTTACATAATAGTAAACTATTTTAGTAATCGATTAATCATTTACTGGAGTATAGAGACTCTAAAACATGCCTTTAGCTGAAAAAAACCAACCGACCTAAAGCAGTAATTATATATAAATTGTAAAAAATATGTAAAGATTTTGCCTTTACAATAAAAAAAATGCATTCGTCTGTGAATATGTTCAATCCCGACCTCAAAGGGAAACATTTTAGTTTCACCTGGTTTAATTTAGAAAAAAAAAATCTTCTTTAAGGACCCTCTGGTTGTCCAATTATTAAATGATTAAGCGAAAAAAATTATCAACAGATTTATCGATATCTTCATTATCTTTTATTTGTTTCATAATTATCTAAAGTATTCCATCCATCCTTCCTTTGACACTTAAAAAGCATCTGTAACCAGCTTTATGACAACAGGCCTATGGTGCCATCTATAATAAAGGCCTTTGAAAGACTAAGTCGTCGGCCAAATCAAAGCCACCATCTATAGTTTGCTTATTCTTCAAATTGAAAAGGTAAAACATGCCCTGTACACCATCCTTTTCCTCCAGAGAACAAAAAATAGTTACTGTACACCAGTGGTTCTCAAACTTTTTCTGTCATTCCCCACTTTGGACAAGGGGGAATTTTCAAGCCCCACCTGTCCCCATCGCCCCAACACAATGCTAATGAAATATGCAACAATCTTAAAATGTTCCAATTTTATTCAACAAGTAGTATCTAAATACAAACTATCTACATCAAAAGACAGCAAGCTCAGCTTGTATCAAGCTCAAAGATAGAAAAAATTAAAGTTCCACTCTGCAATCTGTTAATAAAAGAAAAGAAGTGAAATCCATTGGGCAAGACAGGTCTATTTATCCCTGCATTAGTGGCTGCAATGAGCCTGTTTTGCATTGCACTGTTTCTCAAAACGGGGTTGCAGGCTTGATACTGCCACTCTCAAGTCATGCTCAATGTTCAGCTGAGATCTCTATTTTGTTTTCAGTGAAGCAACAGCTGAAAAGCCCATCTCACAGAGATATGATGTGGCAAAGGGAAGAAGAATGCACACAGCTCTCTGCCCGATGAGTGGATACTCCCTCTCCACTCCTAACCAGAATTCACTATTAGTCTGAGCATTAAACCTGAGCCTCAGGGTGGAGTCAGACGTCATGTCAACAAACTGGTCCTATTTATTTAAGATAAAATATTTCAAATTCAGTTATTTATGATCAACCTGCGCCGCCAATCCCGGCGCATATGCGCTTTATTTGCATTCTGGACGCTGAGGGTAAACATGCCGTGTCTCTGACTGCAGCGCTGAGAGGGACTCCTGCGATAGCGGGGGAGAACGGGGTTGGGATGGGGGAGGCGCCCCACGGCAGCACCTGCCGCTGGAGGACAAGAAAAGGAACGATACGTGCTTTCACGTAAGAGTCTCCAAAAGTCGCTAGATTTGTCGCTAGTCGCTTTTTTGAAAAAGAGTCGTTGGAGGGGTCTGAAAAATAGCCCCACCTGTCACGTCTCAATTCCCCACCAGTGGGTCGCGCCACACACTTTGAGAACCGCGGCTGTACACCAAGCCTATCTATTGCTTTTTCAGAGGCACTTCACCATATTAACCCTAATCCAACACTTCCTGTCAGAAAAACTACTCAAAACATTTAGGTGCTTTAAACGGTAAGCAAAGGAGTTCCTCAGGGAAGTGTATTCAGTCCTTTGCAGTAATATCTTTCTTATCTGCATTGTTTTTACTGTAAATTCCTTTATCTTTGAAGAAAATAGCCGACTTTGTGTTTGTCAGTAAGGTCACAGGAAAAATGAACTGAGCTATGTTTTTTAAGCTTTTATAAATCCTTGTGTAAATTGTTTCACTCATTGGTATGTCATTGTTCATAAAACAATCTTAAGAATCACCCCATCATACCTGTTTTTCCTTTTAACAAAATCAACGCATGTTTTGCAGTTTGTTGTTCCCAGGGTTTAAAATGAAAAAAAAAAAAAAAAAAGAAATCATTGCAGTTTTTGACTTTCACAATGTAAGAGTGATTCTGTCTTTACAACAAAGTCTCTATTGTAAAATAAATATTTAATCTTAATGGGATAATCAATGTTAGTCGAAACAAACAAATAAAATAGTTGTTTTAAATGTGACTTTATCAGTGATTCAGATCAGTGAGGAGGAATTTATACTTTCTCTGCGTTTCTAAGATCCAACAACATCATGAGGTTCAGTTGTCTGATGGATGATCTTATTTTCTTTACATTATTTTTTTCCTGAGGACTTTTGGTTTACAACCTACATTTCAACGCAATTACCTGCTGTCTACTTACTTACTTTCTCCCAGAGGTGTCAAAAGTATTAATGTTTATTACTCAAGTAGAAGTATAAATCGTACTGTTTAAAAGCACTTTTGTAGAAGTTAAGACTGATGCTTTAAACCTTATACTGCACCACCCTATTAAAGGGAAGTTTTTCTACAATTCTGGATCATAACTTCCTTATACCTAATTTCTTAGTTATAACTAACGGTAACAGCGTCAAATTTAACTTTATATCATCTTCAAAAACTATTTATGTTGGTTTTATTTCTATTTTGTTTTGAAATGAATTGTCTGGATGAAAAAAAAATTTTTTTATGTTTTTTTTAAATATTTTTTCTAGAACACTGCAGTACAGATAGACAAACAGACCCAGCGAAATCAAAGACAAAAGCGTAGTTGCACTTTATGGCTTCGACAAAACTCTGAAGCTACTTGAACATTTGTGTTTCATCCACAGATTTACAATTTTTACACATTTATTACAATGATCTAATATAAATTTTTGTCCACCTCCTGCAGCGTTCTGTGCAAAATCTATGAAATTCCATCTGAGTTAAGTTATATTAGCTTAGTCATAGGTTTATATCCCCTAATGAATATTATGTCACTTATCAGCTTTTATTTATGCGTTAGCTTTTCCATTTCTTCTCAGAGATGAAACAAGTTTTAGCCAAAATCTGCAAACGTATTGATAATGATATAAAAAAACAGATGCTACAAAATAGGGAATATTAAAAAAGAGAATCTGCCCAGCTGGAGCCCAGTTAGTTTATAGATATGAATATCAGAGCTCTTAAAGTTCTGAGCTGCTCATGCAGGACTTGTGTTCAGTATAACTTATATTATCTTGTTTGAAATTTTAACTTAGATCAAAACTAAACCAAGTCAGTATTGTTTGTGGTCTCTCTACACAGTGAGCAAAAGAGGAAAATTAACCTATTTTTCTCTTCCTAGAACCATTTTATAGTAATAGAAATCTTAAAAGTTATCTTTTTATTTTTTTAAAGGAAAAAGCATAATTTTACTTTTGCATTTACTTAAAATCTAAAAACTGTACCTTTTCTTTCTTTTACTTAAAAAAATAGTTCAAACAGTACTTTTACGTTCATCTTTTTTTTTATTTACAAAAGTATCTGTACTTTTCCGAAAGTTAAGAAAGTAAGTATTTTAAAAAACTCTGGTCAACTGAAACTGCTGCCTGTAGACAATAAATGCCATATGGACACACCAACGGATGAGAACAGAAACCAAACTTGATTTGGACACAGTCTCCAGTGCTAGATGCTGGCTGTGCTCCTTATTAATTTGTTATAATAAATTATAAGCTTTCCATACACTGCAGATTCTTCTAGGAGGTGATGCTGCTGGTTTTATTGATTTGCTAGAAAAAAGAAGCTTTTCCTTTTCTACCACAGCCTCATGAAAGACGACCTTCAGGAGAAAACTTTCTCTCCTTATTTCTAACTGTTATCTAACGGTTATCTTCTACTAAGTTATTTATTTACATATTTTCGACAATAACAAGCACATTTTACACACATACGAAAAATGCATGCACATATATGAACAACAAATAAAACCAAGCAAAGAGGTAAACTTACTTTCACACACAACTTTCTTGGCACACACATGCACATAAACACCCCCCACAAAATACACATATGAAGGAAATAAAGAAAAACATGAATGCAGAGATAAAAACAAGGCTTGGACAAACCCGCACAAACACATGCAAACACAGAAGGTAGTTTAGTGCATGACAGTGTGATAGATGGTGAGAAGTGAAGGACACAGACCCTGTTCTTTTCTGCTGGCTGTCTGTCTTTCTGTGTGTCATCAGTCCCAGATTTTAGAAACCACAGGGTCCTAAAAAATAAACAATTTTGTGTTCATTCGAAGGGCTTTGCAGCATCGCCACTGATCTCCCAAAAGCCTTGCTTGGAAAGTGAGTTGTTTTCAGGAAATGTTATGCAGTCAGGGTGCCTTTTCAAAGCTAACAACATATCAATGTTAACAAGAAGTCATATTTCAAATGAAATTAAAAAAAAGCATCCAAACTTTTAAGATTTTATTTTTATTTATTTATTTTTTTCATACTCCAACATATTGTAACTATTTTCCCCATTATATAGTAACTACTTTCCCTTCTGAGGCTTTTGGGACATCTGACAAAAACTGAATCAGTCATTCAATATTTCAGAAAATTCAATGAGGTTATATAGTCAAACTGATCATGCACTAAACCTACAATTTGCCCTGCAAATATTATTTCAAGAAGTACAACTAAGGCACACAAGCACACATCACACAACTCTGAGCCACTCAAAGCGCTAAGCAAAGAAAGGTGTGCTGTAGCTTTATTAAAATGTTGTCTGATCTGGTCAGTGTACTTCTGTAGGGAACCTTCCAAAAGGACTCGTATGCCTTGAACTATTTTACCTTTAGTCACATTGCAACAAAACTAAAAAAAAAGTATTTTAGTAGAATTTTATGTGATAGACAAACTCAAGGCAGTGCATAACTGTCATCCAGAGGCCAATAATATGGTATTCGGATACAAGTTAGATTTTATTTTTAAATAGCTGCGGGTTTTCTCAAAGGATTGCTCTGTATTAAGTTTATTCTCTATCATCTCTGACCAAACTCCCTAGTCCCAAGTAAATGTAAGAAAATCCTTACAGCATGATGTTGCCCCACTTTGGGACTGAGTCGTTCAGGATTGAAAGTTTTCACTTTCTGTCAACCTTAGCATTTTCTATGTTGGTCAAAAATCTAAATCTTTGGTTTAATCTGAGCAGAGCATTGTCCTCCACATGTTTGCTGTATCTAATGATGCTCACACCACTGAGGTTCTCTGTTGTTCAGGCTTTACTATGCTTGTTGCTATGGTTGCTTGTCTGACCAATGCTCTGCTCGTCCAGATTGCCAGTTTAGTTGGATGACCATGCCTTGTCTCTCCATGTACAGATGAAGGATTAAATACAGCTATGGTAAGGGGTCAAAGCTTGGGATAATGTTATTGAACATAACCCTGCTTTAAACCTCGCAGAAACTGTCTCCATGACCTCTGCTGCTTTCATTGCTTCTTATGATGTTGGTTTTTCTCTAACACACCTCGAGGTCTTCACCAAACAGCTGGATTTACGCCGAGGATAAATCACACACAGACACACTATTGTCATTTATCAGATGACTTAAACGCAGTCTGTTGGACCGTGGGGGATGATTAAAGAGAAGTGCAGAATTCTCACAGTTTTATTTTAAAAAAGGTTGAATATTTGAAATTCTTTCTTCCACTTTACTGGTATTTAGGGCTTTGTGATGCTCTATCACATAACATTCCAATAAAACACATTAAAGTTAAAGTTTTATAAAGGCTTCTCTACGCTTACAAGCGCAGCTTAATGAAAGCTGCAATTGTTTTTAATTTGCAGTCCAATGCAAAGTCTTGCAAACCCACCAAAAGCACTTACTGTAAAAGAGGCCCCTGTTCTGCTAGAGGTTACAAGCATTATCAGAATCAGAGGATTCATAAACCTACTAATTTTTACACATACATTTATATTTAACTTCCAAGTAAAACAAGTTTTCTAAACTTTTTTTTTCATGCTATGCAAATTAGCATGTAAAACATGGGAGTACTGAGCATTGCTCTGCTGGGTGTGGTTACAGGTAGATGCAAATTAACATTATTCTGATGAACCATGAAAAATATAACAATTACTGATATAAATCTAACATATGGCAGAATTCATGCTTTACTTATTTCCTAATAAATAATTTTATAACTCTAAACTAGTTTGATGTGACTGGCTTTACTACACTGTTTCAGTTTGTCTCGGAGACTCCAGACCTCTTTAAGGAAGGCTTATGAAGGAAAAATTTCCCATCCCTTCTCACCTCTAAATCCTCTCGGTGTGATCGGTCTCTGTCTTCAAAGTCTCTGGTTCTGCGTCGAGCTTCCTCAAACGCTGCCTGGGCCAAAGCATCCTCATGCTGCACAAACAGGGCCACATAAAGCTTGGTTCTCTTTGTATCATAATTCAAAATCAAAATCATCACAAGTCTATGTCAGAAAAGAACAAAAGTTGTATGTGACTAAAAGGACGTGATACCTGAGCTCGCTCATCGTCATACTCCAGATATCCCATCCCATCCAGCCTTTGTAGGTCAATCCATCCTTTCCAGATCACACAAACCCCATTCAAGATCATAGGGGCCTTTAAATAGACCTGTGAAGACATGATCAGTTTCTCCTGTTAGTTGATAATTCTCCACATCATAAACATTTACAGTAGGATAACCCTACAAAGAAGATGAGACAGGGAATAAAAAAAAAACAAAAAACATTTTCCTAAAATTATATTTCCAGTATTTTGATCTCACTTAACTACCATTCAGTTTTAAATTAGCACCAGATTTATGTATAATGTGTGTATTTTAATGCAAAATGAATCAGCAGCTCTCAGGAAAATTATTTGAAATAGGAAGTCAGAGGTACCAATCTAAATTCTATGCAAAAATAGCTAAACGTTTATGCCAAAATATTTTCATTTCAAATTTATTTTTCTGATAATGGATTTGATTCTTGGTTGTGGTTATATCTGAGAGAATATTAGCCCAGATCAAACAATAATAATACTGAGTAGTCTTAAGCTGTTAGACATGGTTTGCTTAAACACAGAACAGCATTTTACTAAAGCAGGAGCAAAAAAAAAAAAAAAAAGATTAAAATCATAATTTCACAAACTGTGAACTGTGGTGGAACATTGAACATGAAAAAGGAAAAAAACTGAATAGACTGTTCTTTTGGACATGTTGCTTGTGTTTGTGTCTTTTCTTTTTTTTTCTACATCCACAGCTGTAGCACCAGTATGTAAAAGAAAGGAATAATAAAATGATTTTACTGATTTTAACAGAGGATTAAAAAAAGAGATCAGAGTCAGAAATGAGATTTTCACATAACAAGGTTATTACATGAAATAGCCTAAAGTTTTAATGTATATAATTATTTTTTCACTTTTATTTTAACTGTCTGCCACTGTATGTAACGTATCAATATTGTATTGTGTATTATCATTATTATTATCATTATTTATTTTTTGCTTTTAAAGCATCCTATGGACTAGAGTTTAAAATTAGCACACGTGTTAACACAGCTACCAGATCCTCTCCGACCCCACCCACCACAACCATGGACTCTTTTCCCCCCTGGCGTCCGGCAGAAGGTTCCGAAGCATCTTCTGCAGAACGACCAGACTACTGAACAGTTTCTTCCCCCTGGCCATCAGACTGCTTAACACCACATAACACTCCCCCCCCCAAAACACACACACACACACACACACTAAAAGCACCCATAGACATGGACATAATGTTTCGTTTTCAATAACTCAGTGCAATATTTATTTATTTATGTTACTTCTTCTATAACTCAGTGCAATATATATGTATATATATACTCTTTACCCTGTATATAGCTAGCTCTTCCTCATAGAAAACATATTTATTGTGCAGGTACAAGGTCTTAGCTCTGTTACACTGGTAGCCAAGTAATCGACATTTTGTTGTCAAGATTCACCTTGTGTTTTTTTGTGCAATGACAATAAAGGAAGTCTAAGTCTAAGTCTAAGCAATGCATCTAGTGTGTCCACTATATATAATATGTCCATATTTAATACATTAAAGGTTTAGCGGAGGATGTTTTTTTGGGGGTGGATTATCAAAATAGGTGGTTCAGAGGGCAGGTCTTTTCAAAAGTTTGCAAAAATTCTCCACTATAAATAAAACAATCTAAAAAAAAGTTCAGTTTATACTATTTAGATGCCTCTTTTCTTATGAAATGAAGAAGGTTGTGATGTTGGATAAGGTTTCAGAGGATTTCATAATAAAACTTCAGCTGCTGGTGTTTGACCTTGCTTTGTTTTGTCTTCATGAGGATCAGAGAAGGGCGACAAGAGAAAAAAATGCAGTCTTTTTGTTGATGCAGCAGCACATTAAGACCAGTTTAGACTGCTTTTAGATCAGGCGTTGTCTTTCTTTGCCTTCCAGGTTATGTTACTCACTCTTTGGCTCAATTCCAGGGGGACAAAAAAAGTAAATATAACTAATATGTCTATTTACATAAAGAGGAGGAGGAGGGGGAGGAAGAGCGCACACATATCTGCACCATTACAGAATTTAGATTTGTGCTAATTTCTCAGCCGCAGCAGGAACAATTAAACTGTGCCCCAACAAAACAGGGAAAACAATGAGTCAAGGAGACAGAGAATCAGCAAAAATGCATTTCATATTAAGTCAATTTTCACTCAATGATTACACTTTAGTAAATACATACTTTTGAAAAATATTGGTAATAATAATTTGATAACTGAACAGCAACCATAAAGTATGGAAAGTATATAAGCAACAAATCATTAGGTATATGCTGCAGATATGATTGTCTTTAATGTAAATATTTTCTTTGGATTTTGAAATTTGGGTTAATTTTGTATAGAAAATAATTAAAATGTGAAATTGCTGTGTTTAAAATACTCTGACGCCAGGTTCAGTCATTTTTAAACAAAGAATGGACATGACTGTACTCCTGTTTAAGGAGTGAGGAAGCAGTGAGAAGAACCAGAATCAACTTTGCTATTCAGGTTTGTCTGCACAAAAAAGGAATTTGACTTTGGTTTCCCATCGCACACATCATAACTGTTTAAACAAGATTTTAATTAAATCAAGCTAAAGAAAGAAAAGCAGTATGCACAAGTGCATGGCATATTTCTTTTTATTGTATAAAAGATGGAAGGCAGATTTTTATAGGAAATAAAGGCGTATTTGTTTACAGCAGAGCAGCTGACTAGCTGAGAACAGATCTCTGTGTTCATCAGAGAGACAGCCTTTGAGACAGCTGCTTCTGTTTTGGCTGTTTTTGACATTACTTATTTGTAACAACGACCTAACAGTAAATGTTTATGACCAGAATGTGTGAGTTCAGCAGAGATGCTTGTAGCTTAATGTTGTAGATCTTTACAGGTTGTGGATGTAGGGAAAGTGAGCTCCTATGATCCTTTTTGCAGACCTAGTTCTTTATTGCGGTTTGGACTGGCCCAATTTGCAAATGAGCCAAACCACAGTGAATCATGTGCACAAACAGACTGAATGATAGAGGTGAAGAAGATGACCAGGTTCTACTTTTTAAGCTGTTGCAGGGAGTACACTCTCTGCTTGACCTTCTTCACACACAACACACATTTAGACACAAAAAAGAGGTCACAAGCCACAATATGTGCTAAGATAAAAAAATATATAACCACACAAAAGGAAAACACACGTTACTTAAGAAATGCATTCACTTGATTCAATGCTTTCCCAGCTGGAATTTCTAGGATGGAAACTCTGACTTACAAGAAGAAATAATGCACCATATGCATCCCTGTATGTTGCAAACTATGCATGATGAACTATGACACTTCATCAGAGTCAGCATTAACCTTTCAACCTCATTTGTTGGGGAGGGGATTACCAAGTTCAGATTTCACTCCCAATGTGCATCAATGACCGTTGGCCAACCATGTTCCTGTCAGTGGGGGGCATCCCTGTTCCTTTATTGGACCACAATCCACATGGCCTGCAGTTTTGGAGACTTCCTGACCCAGTCATCAAACTATTTTAACAACATGCAAGCTTAAATTCACACATTTGCCATTTTTTTCTCTCAAAAAAATCAATTTAAGAAACAGATGTATACTTTCTGCCTAACATATATCACCAATTAACAGGTATTATGACAAATACATTGTATTCTTATAACGTTCCCTTTCAGCAATCAAAATGTTATACCTGATATGTGCAAAATCCAACAGATGTGACGGGTGAATTTCTCCACTATGAGATCAATAAAGTCTATCTTATCTTATCTAGATGTAAATCAATAATCTGAATTCCCTTTAATTATCTTATTTCTCCAATGAGTACTCGTCTTTACAGAGAGGAGCAAAACGTGGCAAAGTAGCTCAGTTTTTCTTAGGGTCTACAGTTTAGAGATTATACTTTTATCTGTGTAAACACATATTTAGGAATAAATTAACAACGCCAAACACTCCATCTGAAAAAAACACACAAACACGCATGCATTAGCATATTTCTGTGTGAAACGGGAAGAGCTCGACGTTCCAGCATTTTAGCTCAGGCTATTTTAGGACAGCCTCTCACAGGACCTTTTTAACCACAGCTACCCACAGTGCACCGGGGTTGCAGGGGAGACCGCACCCCAAGAGACTGTGGGTTTTGTGTTTATACGAATGAATGTTTTTCTCTGTGTGTGTGTGAGAGTGTGTAAAAGCAGGAGAAATGGCTTCAACATCTGTGAGGCAGCGCAGTGTTTTTTAAGGAAGGCTTCATTTGCTCTGACAAGGAAAACGTGTTCTTGTGTGTGTGTGTGTGTGTGTGTGCTCAAAAGGGGAAAATATGTAGAAACGGCCCAACCACAGACTTCCTCTGAGAGAACCATGTCAACCCCCACATCTCCATTTGCTGAGAGAAACATATGAAGACGTTGGAGCTCAAACACTGCAGTACAGAAAGAAAAACCCAGCAAGCAAAATCATAGACAAAAGTGTAGTTGCGCTTTATGGTTTTGATGAAAACTATGAAGCTAATTTAAGATTTGTGTTGCTTCCACAGATTTACAACTTTCTGCACTTCTTAAAATGATTTAATATACATTTTGTCCACCTCCTGCAGCGTTAGGTGAAAATTAATCTGAGTTTAGTTTTCCTTAGCTTAGTCATAGGATACATGCACTGGTTATGCAACTGAATGTTCTGTCAATTATCAGGTTTTATTGATGCGTTTGCTTTTGCATTTATTCTCAGAGATGAAACAAGTTGTGAGGTTTTGCCATAACTGTACATCAGTCAATTCGGTTTCAGTTCAATTCAGTTTATTTATATAGCGCCAATTCACAACATGTAATCTGAAGTCACTCTACAGTTCACCAGATCATACAGTAAAATTGATTCTAAGTTTTCTATCTAAGGAAAACCAGTTGGCTGCATCAACTCATTGACTCGAATGCAACCCCTCAGTCACATGCCTTTCTTGTTTTTTGGCATAGCTTGTGCTACGTTTTAACCCATTTTAAGCAGAATCACTAGATTCAATTAAATTGATCTTTTACGGGTTTTATGGAAAGAAAATTAATAGATTCAGCTGTTTGGCCACATAGACAAAAAAATATGTTTAG